GTGCCTGCAACCAAGGTACATGCCCTTGACTGGAATCGACCTGGGACCTTTCAGTCTGCCAAACCAGTTAGGGCATCTAGACCCCTGGTCTTTCCTCCTGGAGAGATAACATCTAGGCTGAAGGTGCATTTCGGCTTCAAGCCCAGAAAAGCAGCAAAACCAGACAAGCAACTCCCAGGGCTCACCTCAGGACCAGCTGCCCTGGATATGACCCCCTGCCCTAGTGCTGACCTTCCTCACTTTCAAGCTCCAAGGGCCAGCCCTTTGCCTGGCTAAGGTGTTTCCTAAGCCCATTTCTCCTAATAATTATTTCTTTTACCTCTGTGCTTTTCTAAATAAACGAGAGAACCAATGCACAAAATTTGTGCAAGGGACTTGGCCTCGCAGCCCCAGTTTTGTCCGAAGGTCGCTCAGAAGGACGTCCGGAAGGTTGTTCGGCTGCCCGGTCTAATTAGCATATTACCCTTTTATTATTATACACGTTCTCTTATAGTTTGGGTCTTGGCTCTGAATTCTTGCCTAGCCAGAGCTCAAGTACTGAGGTTGCTGAACCCAGGCCTCGTCTGATCCCATCCGTCTAACACCTAGTGCCATCCCCGTGGGCACCCCTCACCCCACCACTTGGACATGTAGGACATGTTATGGATCCATTCAAAGTCTGCTCACTCCCTGTAAAATGGAGTTACTTAAAAAAAAAAAAAAAAAAAAAAAAAAAAGAAAGAAAGAAAACCTACATCCCAGGGTGAAATGGGAGGTTCACTAGATTAACAGAGAACAGTACCTACTACGTGCTCAGCAAACCACAGTTATCATTATCATTGTCTTAAGACATCGGTCATTCAGCTGGCCACATGGTCTCTTTTACTTTGGATCTTAGTTGGTGGACTTTTAAGCAAAGCATAACATGAACATTTCCCCACTGTTTTACACAGTTTTGGGTCAGTCTTGTCACCAGAAGGTTAACAAATAGGGTTCACAAAATATTCTTAGGGGTGGCAGATGGCTTGATCCATTTATGAGATTAAGGTCTGGTGGGGGATGGTTACACCTTCAGTATCAAGATGGAGAAGTATCGCCCGGGTTCCAGCCTGGATATAAAAAGCTCATTGCTGCCCACACAGTGTGGTCCAGTGATTGGGGGTCAACCCATGAACCAGGAGGTCAGGTTCAATTCCCAATTATGGCTCCATCCCCCATAGGGGGCATGCGTGAGGCAGCTGATGGACGATTCTCTCTCATCATTGATGTTTCTATCTCCCTCTCCCCGCCTCTCTGAAATCAATAAAAACTTTTCTTTTTTTAAGAAGCTCACTGCAAACAGGATTACCATAAATCCCCAAACAGAATAGGTTGGGGAAATAGTGTGAAGGCTACCATTATTGATCATCATATGTCCGCTCACTTAACAACAAAACAACCTAACAAGCAATATCCTGGAAGGCAGGTGGTCCTCGTTTTAAAGAGAAAGACACAGAGGCTCAAAGTGGCTTGACTGCTCTGCCCACATTGTCAGCTGACTCCTCTCTTACCCTCTGGTACCCTCCTCTTCTCACTCGGCATGTAAGGGGATGATCGGCCTGTAGCTGGCTCTCCGCAGAGAAGCACCAACTAATTGTTTTAAAGGGAAACACTCCCTCGAATTGAGTATGAAACCAGAAACGCAGATGGCAGGAAAGGAACCCTTTTCCCCCTCCACCTACACATTTGCATTGAACGGTTGGTTTCCACGTGCTGTCGACAACAGGCACACATCGGTCCTTTCATTAGATAAAGCAAGACAACCAGATGGAGCCCCGGTCCCTTTTTTTTTATTAGTGCTATTTATTAAGAGTTTGGCAACCCCCTTGCGAAGTCTGGTCTTGCAGGAACAGCCAAGGAAACTTATGGAAACGGGACTTTTTTTTTTTCCTTCGGCGCCGTGGTACGGGGCGAAATGAAGAGAGAAGTGGCAGCTCCCAACGACCAACCCCAAAGAGCACGTGGCTCTTGTTATATCTGGCTGGCTCAGCCGCGATCCAAGTTATGGGACTACAGGGGATGCTGTCTAGACCGGTTCTCTTGGCCCTGGGGTTGGCAGTCCACAGAACCAGAAAGCCAGAGTCTGGCCCAAACATCTCGCTGCATTTTTTTATTTTTATTCTGGTAGACAGTCAAGCTGGATGCAAACGACATCTCAGACAATTACAAAGAGCCATAAACAAGAGACTCCAAAGACCGCACAGGGCTTTCTTCAGCTCCGGAGAGATAAGGCCTGGCTCTTGAGCTATGAAGCATGACATTTCTGAAGCCAGGATCGTGAGGGGTAGAGGTGGGGGGGAACTTTGGGGAAGGGGAGGCACAGTCACGTGCAGCTTGAGAGCATTGTCATGGCCTCAGGGGCCTTTCTAGTCTCAGTGACGTCGCTACGGCAGGAAAAACACATGGATGTGTAATGGAAATAATTTATTTACCACTAGAGCACCACAAAAAAAAACAGACATACATCGTGTTAAAATACAGCGGGATCAGTCATCAAAATACAAAACAGCTATTCTTATATTCCTTTTTTTTTTAAACCATGTCAACCGTAAAATTGTACTGCTGCTTAACACATAAAAACTGCCCCTCCCCCCACCCCCTCATACTAACATTTCCCCCCTCTCTCCCCTTCTCCCTCCCCTCCCTTCCCTCCCCCGGCAATATTTACTTATGGGAAATAAAGACCTTATAGAACCCCCAAACTAAAAAAAAAAAAAAAAAAAAAGATTCAAGAGATCTTAAAATAGAGCATTTAAAATATTAATCAGTGCATTCATGAGGAAAGACAACATAATACACAACAAAATGTCATTTTCTGAGAAGAAAATACCTGCAGGAATAAAAGGGATTTACATAGAATTCATAGAAAAGTGGAAGAGGAAAGAAATCAACACCCTCAAATCCAGGACTGGGTTCCATCCACCACAAGGGCTGTTCCCTACTGGGTCCTCCGACCTCTGCTCCCTCCTCCTGCCATTCCAGTAATCCAACTTGACCATCCAATTCGCCAGCGGTCAGGAAATTCCAAAAACAGAAAAGTTGACTATAGCAAACAGCTTCTCTTGGGTTTAGGTGAAACTGCAGATATCCCATTGTGAGACCTACGTGTGTTGAGCTTAAAGCTAACTAAGGGACAATTGCCAACTCCTACAAACTGTGACATGAGGTGACCTCCTTCATTTATTGAAGCAAAGCAAATGGCAGCAAACTCTCATTCACAGGGGGGGAAAAATGTTGTTGTTTTTTTAATCATGGGAGAATTTGGTTTGTGCCTTCTCAACCTTCATAGAACATCTATAAAAATCTTAACTTCAGCCTGGCCGGGGTGATGCAGTTGGTTGGGCATCAACCCCATGAACCAAGAGGTCACCGGTTCGATTCCCAGTCAGGGCACATGCCTGGATTGTGGGCTTGATCCCCAGTAGGCCGCTGATTGATGTTTCTCATCAATATTTTCATATCTCTCTCTCACTTCCTCTCTCTCTAAAATCAATAAAAACATATTTTTAAAATACCTTCAGTGAAATAAGCTGAATGACTTATGCTGACCTGTTTTCTTTTCTCTCCCTTAAAAAAAAAAATCAATAAGAAGATAAATCTTCCCATTCCCCCCACTCGGAATACCAACAGCCCAATTAAAGTGAAAGATGTGTCCTAGGAACTGGCTGCTTTATTTTCACAATAATTCTGATTGAACCAAGTGAGAGAAACCTTTTGTAACTGTCACCAGGTTTCTGTCAGATCCTTGAGCCTTTGCTAAAATGAAAACATTTTGACTCAGTGATCTCTGTATCTATACTATTCCCCAGTTTTCCTAAAACAGGAGCTTTTTAATGTCTGAACTGATGAGTAGTGATGCTCTGAAGATGAAGGAAGACCACTCAACTCAAATCTATCTCCTTTTGCAAAAGAAAAAAAAAAAGGACAGGTGGACTCAGGTAGCTTACGTCATCGTAATAGACAAAGTACAAAGCACAGTGGAGCAAATTCTATATAACACATGTATTTTTAGTGCAAATCAAAATCTAGGGGCTTTACTCAAAAAAATACTAGTCAGCTAAAGGAAACACACAATTCGGAGTGATCGTGAAAAAAAAAAAAAAAGAAAAAAAAAAGAAAAGCCCAAATTTAAGTCCAATCTAAATCATAGTTGACATTATTACAGCACATTAAAAATATGGTAAAAATTTACACATTACAAGCCAAGTAGTTAATGTTTTGATTTAATAGTTTGAAAAAAAAATCGGCTGATGTGTTTCCAATTATACGGGCTTCTATACCCATCTATTGTAATAATAAAGGTATGGTTACAATATGGAAACTAAGAGAACCTATAACATAACTATACAGCAAGACTTCCATGTTTGAAGTTTGATCAGCGCGTATCAAAGCATTGAAACCTCTCACTGGTGGACTGACAGGGAAGCATTTACAATGACAAAGAAGAAAAAAACCCTTCCAAACTTCTTCAGATGGCAAGTTTCCTTTATTAACAGGCTTTTGGCTTTGAACCTTACAAGATGCTTCCTCTGGCAGTTGGGACATAGCGTGTGTTTTCAGGGTCTTTTATCTCAACACAGACTTGTGTGGTCACAGAAGAACTCACCTGGGTTTTCATCCGGCTCCTATGACCTCTTTTTTTTTTTTTTCCTTCTTCTTTTTTTTTCTTTTCTTTCTTGTTCTGGCTCGTTAGAGTTCAAGTTCCTTAAAACCCTCCATGAGTTTCTGGCAAAGGATTTTGGTCTCCACTTTGTACACCTGTTTTCTTTTCCAAGGGCCATGAAATGTTCATTATGTAGAAACACACAATAAATAACTCACTGTTAACTCTAAGAGTAGGACCAGGGAAGGGAGACTATTGCATAGCAATACAGACAAATCAAGTGCGGTGGGGGTAGGAACTTATGTACAACTCCACTTAACGGGATTTTCCTGTGTTGTTTTTTTTTTGTTTTTTTTTGTTTTGTTTTTTTTTGTGTGTGTGTGTGTGTGTTGTTTCCTTTCACATAATTAACACTAACAAATTCTTCCAGTGTTTATTTATTTTTTTCCTTAAAAAAAAAAAAAAAGGTTTTGCTTCTTGTCTCTCTCACTTACGGAGTAGGTGCAATGTAGAATCAAGCCTTCCACGCATTTGTTGTTGTTGCTGTTGTTTTTTGCTTCGTTTTGTTTTGGATGCCAGTTTTAACAAACAGGACGCACACTTCCACGTGTCTGAACTAGTACCGCTTTTCAAAGGATTTTTTTTTTTTAACACTGACAAAGCAAGCTCTCTTAGGTTCCTCCTTACAAACTTGTTACGTTGTGATCAAATCATCATCATCATCATCATCATCATCATCATGTGGTTACCATCTTGCCACTTTCCCAAGGCTCTTAGCTGCATTTGCAAGACTTCACTATCATGTTGGACAGCTGTTCGATCTTGGGGGTCTTGCCGATGTAATAGAGGATGGTGAGAGGTTCCAAGTCTTGGGACACGCAGCAAGGAGAGGCGGATGCCTCCGGGTTGATGGTGTTATATAAGCTGAGAACCTGAGAGGGCCCCGGGGAGAAAGGACAAGAAAAAAAAAAAAAAAAAAGGGCAATTAATTTTTAAATTCCCAACATCGTAGCCCTGAGTGGGCAATGCAAATTGTTTGCTTGCAGTTTTCTTTTTTTTTTTTTCTTTTTTTGCTTTTGCTGATCCTCACCTGAGGATATTTTTTCCATTGAGTTTTGGAGAGAGTGGAAGGGAGAGGGAGAGACAGAGAGGGAGAAATAGCTATGTGAGAGAGACACATCCATTGGCTGCCTCCCGCACACGACCCCAGAATGGGCCAGGGATCCAGCCTGCAATCGAGGTACTTAGTGACCTTGACTGGAATCGAACCAGGGACCCTCCATTTCCCAGGCCAGTGCTCTAACCACTGAGCCAAATGTGCTAGGGCGATCCCCGCTCTCTAACAGAAGGGAATGTGACTTTTCCCGATGGCAGTACGCAGCTTCCCCGGTGATGATAAGGAGTCATTTCCAAGGATGCCATTAATGTGTTAGCCAAACAGCGAGTGACCTTTTCCTCGAGATTCACTGCGAGTTTTTTATCCCGAGACAGATGATCCGTTCAGCGCAGCAACACTGGCTACTTTATTAAGCCACCTCTGGCTCGTTGGGTAACTGTCCAAACCACATATTTGTGACCACGACAGTTATTCTTCCTCTCTCCTTGAAAAACAAGCAGGTCTCTGCCTTCACACACTCCCTCTGTGTATCTGGGAGGGGGAATTATGTTTCTACTTGGCAACTGGGCCTGCCCACATTACAGCTACTGTTGCCACGGCCCCGAGGAGGCCGCCTGGCTAGAGGGCCCGGACAAAGGGACAGGCATGAGCAAGCTTCCCTCACATGGCCAAGCTCATGGCCGGCCTCAAGTGCCAAAATCTACAGGGGAGCTGGGCAAACAGCTGAGGGGAGGAGAGTCATAGTTTCTCAATTTAAAGTCTTGCATAGGTGGCCATTTATTATATAAACAAATAGACTTCATGTCCCACTAACATGTGATTTTTCTTAGGAAGTAAAGAGGAATTGGATACTAGGGATTGTCTAACATAATTGATAACCCTGAAGCTCATGTGTTCAGCTGAATGCATGATGGGATCTCGTTGGCAGTAGATTCTTTTTCCTACCCTGCAGGGAAGGCAGGCTGTCTAATGCCTCTTTAATAAGAAGATTTGCAGAGGCATAACCCCAATGGGTAGCCACATTTCAGGAATGAAATTCTACCAAACGGAGCCAACAGAGGCCTAGTTATAAAGCCAGCGGTCTACCTTGTAAGCTTCTGTTTGGTTTGGGGAACATCACCTACATGAACATGCTCTTTCTTTTTCCTTTTTTAAAATTATTTTTTATTGGTTTCAGAGAGGGAGGGAAAGGAAGAGATAGAAACATCAATGATGACAGAGTATCATTGACTGGCTGCCTCCTGAATGCCCCCCTACTGGGGATGGAGCCCACAACCCAGGCATGTGCCCTGACCAGGAATTGAACTGTGAATTCCTGGTTCATAGGTCAAAGTTCAACCACTGAGTCACACAGCTGGGCTCCCCTTTCTTTAGAAAAGTGACAGGTTTGGACAAGATAACTTATCACATTGTGGAACAGTAGTTTTATTGCTAGCTTTACCCGGTGGCCAGATAAGTTTCTGTTGAATGAGTACAAAAAACATTTTACATAAATGCTAAAGGCAATCTTTAAAATTAAGTACCCATTTTGAAGTTATTTATTACATGCTCTTACAACCTAATATCTTTTAAAAGTATGATACTTTGTAAAACACTGTGTAATATGAATCAAGAATTCTCGTGATCCAACTGCAATGTGTCATGAAGTCCTTCTTCCTCATCAGACACCAAAAAAGAAGCATTTGAACAAATATAATTATTAAATATAAACTCTTCGCTCATCTGGATTGGGAACCCCCAGCATCCAGCCTAGGACCTGCCTCTTTATTGGCCTCTATCCTCATTAAAGTAACTTGATAATATTTTCAGAGTCTCACTTACTTGAGCTTACATTTAAAAATACTTAGAAATACTAATTTTCAAATAATTTTCCCATGCATCACCTTTTCTTCACATCAACTCTCAAGTTTGGCATTATTAACTTAAAACATAATTTTTATTTTTATTTATTTAACCATAGTGTGATGAAGGTAGGGGGCAGGTGTGGGTGGAGGGGGTCGATGGGGGAAAAGGGACATCTGTAATATTTTCAACAATAAAGATTAAAACATCTTTAAGGATAATTTTTTAAGAGAGGTGTTCCTTTTCGCTGATAAGAAACTGAGGTTCAAAGAAGTGAAATCACTTTATAATTGTCAGACTCCGGTGACTCACTTTGCCAATGTATCTACTGAATCCTCAGCGTTCTCTTTTTCAACATTATCACCTGATGATCAGAATTCATGTGGGAATACAGTTGACCCTGGAACAACACGTGTTTGAACTACATGGGTTCACTTATATGTGGTTTTCTCAGTCAGCCCTCTGTGTCACCTTTTCTTCACATCAACTCTCAAGGTTGGCATTATTTATTTTAAACATCTTTATTTTTGCATTGGTGGATTCAAACTACCACAGATGCAAAGGACTGACAGTAGGCACTCTTCTACTCCATATTATATAAAGGACTTGAGCATCTATATTGGTTGATATTCGTGAAGGATCCTGGGATGAATACCCTGCTGACACAGAGGGATGACCAGTTAGGTTCTGGGAGAGTCAAAAGTTTCACATATCTTCGAGAGTCAGTGCTTGTAATGCCTGCATTGTTCAAGGGTCAGCTGTTATCAGCAGATGCACATTAGCAACCTAAGAATAGAAAAGAGGAGCCAACCAAGTACTTACCCTGCTGTGCTGAGTGTCTGAACTCCATAAATACGGGCATGCCCCAGCACAGAAGTTGGCATTGTACCCTTTAGGTTCATGGATCCATTTCCACCCAAGATCCCTCTTGAAGTCAATGTAAAGTGGACGTAGGCAGCAATTATCCTGCACATTTCTGTTAAAAGAAGAGCAATGGAGATTTTAAAGCAGATTTCCCTCTTGCCCCTCATCCCAAACCAGGAAAGTGACTCATTCATTTATTCAGCAAATATCTATTAGCCAAACCATGGGCCAGCTCTTCATGATTTCATTGTCGCCTAAGTGGCTTTCGCCATGGGTTGTGATGGTGATTTTCTGCGACAACTTTCCCTTTTCAACTCTATACCCTGACCCCATGTCTGAGATCTTGAAAATCAAGCCTCTCCCTTGAATGACCAGCTATAAACAGAAAGGTGGCTGATGGAGACCAACCTCTTTCCAACCAGCCCTGCACAGTGTTGCCAGCCAGCCTTTCCTGCCCTTTCCAGTATAAAATGAGGACATACAACAGCTTTTTTCTAAGCTCCATCTAAGGCATTTTCCTTTGAAAACAAATCCTTTATTTCATGTCATGCTCCGTGATCTAGGAATGAACCAAAGATCGGGAAACATGGAGTCTTATTTTATGCAAATACTGGCCCTAGCAACCCCAAACGCTTGTGAACTCTGACCCTTTGAGTACTTTATCAACGAGGACCCCTCGCTGCTCCATTCTGGAAAGAGAGAGTCTTCCCTTTCTCAGGGTTGGTAAGAAGCCATGGGGGAACATCCACACTGCCCCCTCCGTGGACTCACGTGGGAATAGGAAGTAACTCTGTGTGCCCTCCCTTCTCGCATATTCTGTAGCTAGAGACATGACAAATAGCATTCTTCTTCCACATCTTGCATCTTGGTTACTGTGTAAGCACTATGACCATGGGCAGTGAGGACAAAGGCTCATACAGATGGTGAGCCTCCCTGATTAGAGAGCCACCACATCCTTCAAATAAACTTCCATTTGATGGGGGGGAGGGAATTGAGTGGGTGGCCAGTTTATTTTCTTCCTCAGCCCCAAACTGCTTCAGAGGGATTGTGTGGGGGATGGGGAGGATGAATTCGGGGGACTATCTTTCTCCCTTTACACTCCATTTCTTGCTCAAGAGATGATGAATACAACTCAGAAATAACTATATTAAGCCCGTGGGAAGAACGATGTTATGAAATGCGATGGCCGCACTGTTCTATACCGGACCCTACGCCATGAGTACAGGGCTAGTCCATTTGACTAGGGGATGGGCAGAGGCAGTAAAGGAGTTACCAGGGGCAACGACTTGGTTGTATGTCTGTGTTCTTTACCTAAAGCAGTAGGCTGCGTCTAGAGCACGCTTCTTCCGCCGGTTGGACTGTTGTGACTCCAGTCTGTAGGAGGGTAACAACATTAGCAGGAGATGTGGGGTCTTCCCACTGTTTTTTTTCCTAGTGGACTTTATAGTTCTCTGATCACCACTGGTATATGTGGAGGTGCCATCAATACCTTGAAAAAATGCATTTGGGTAATAAACATTTAGCTTTACCTTCATCAGATATCATCAGCCATATTTTTTTTTTTTCGTTTGTCTACTGTCACAAATAGCAGTGATGACCACCATGTCAGCATCAGCTGGCGACAGTCATTCCCTACGGAAATAGATATGGTGCAAGAGGGCTAAGCAGGTGGCAACAAACACTTCTAAATGGGGCTCTTGTCAGAAGGCAGGTCAAGGTCCAAGACCGGGCTCGTTGGCTATGAAAGTCGCTACAGAAGAAGTCTTTGACCTCTAGTCCCAGGGCAGCCCAGGCAGTTCATTCGAGTCAATCCCCAGTTCACGTTGTGTTCAAACCCCTCCATGACCAAACACACAGCAATAGAACCTGCCTTTGTCACTCTCTGGTTGCCTCTCTTCCTGGGAGAACTCAACTCAAAACTTTCCTCATGAACAGAAATGAAGACTTCCCCTAAATTGCAGTGAATTCGGTTCAAATGAAACAGAAGTCACCCTTCCCTGATGCTATTTGGGGAAGCTGGGAAGAAAGGGTTTTTTCATTGGGTTCATGGCATCCTCAACACTTTCCTGATCCCATCTGAGATTTAGAAACTCGAGCTCCGCAGAGCTCACCCAGCAGAATGCCAGTTTGAGCATTTCATCTCCACACCCTGGAGAATCATGACGAGGTTACAGGCTGAACTAAATCTCCTGACCTCTGGGAGTATTTTTCCATGAGCTGGGGCCACGGTAGCCTTCTGCAAGTGGATGGACGGAGGGCCCAGGTGGTGTCACTTAGGGAAGGGCAAGGGGCATCCTGACCCGGTGGTGAGGGAGCAGTGCCACAACCACACACGGCATCCACTTCCCTCTCAACCTCTCACCATCCAGGGACTCATAATCTAGCACCTGATTGGATGATGAGAGAGGAGGGGGAAGTCTACGTTGTTGTGGGCATCTCCTCATTCTCCTTGACCTTTGGCTAATTCACCTACCAGGTAAGCAGGAGCCTGGGGGAAATTAAAGCCCTGTTAGGAGTGTAGACACTATTATAAAAGTCTGATAAGGAAGGCACCCAAAATATTGGTCACCAGCCAGGAAGAGTGAACTGGTTCCCCTACATGGAAGGTTAGTTAAAGGGATTGGGGAGCAAGAGGGCTTCCTTCTTTGTGAAATACAGATAAGGGTTCCTGACATTGGTGTGGGGGATTTCCTTAAATACATGCTATCTTCTTCGTTGATGATAGTAGCATATGTGGAACATGGGTTCGCTTACATGCTTAAAATAACTATGTAATGGTTTGTTGAGTCAGTCAGTCAGTATTGCTAAGTCATCATTGGGCATCGAGCGGCATAAAGGAGGAACCACGCCCTTTCTTCCGATCCTTTCTGCCTTCAAGTGTCTTTCTCCAACTGTATCTCTGCCCAAACAAATGATACTCCCTAGACCTCACCAAACAATCCTGTTTTCACCTGCAAATTGACGTCATCACCCACAAGGTTGTTAACAGAGGCCCTCCCCTCCCCCCCACCTTACGAGACCACGTTTCAGTTACCTGCAAATCTCGCTTCTAGTTCTTCGCTTTTATTGGGGATGATGTAGTTATTGGACGGCACAAAGGTGCAGCAGGGGCAGTGTAAACTGATTTTAAATCCCAGGTTCCTGTCTGGAAAACATGAAGCCAAGGAGGTCATTTGCATGAGCGTCTGTGCCCTTACAGATGCAGTCAACTTTGCAATAACTTAGGGTGGCTGGACATCTAGGGAGGAAAACAGAGGGAGGGTGTAACCTTTGTGGTGGAGCCACTCGTGAACAGCGTCGGTCACGTCGAAGGAAAGCCATTCCCCTTCCGCTCTTGTTTTCACCACTTTGCTGTCGATGTAGCGCTGGGTTGGAGACGTCAAATCCTTGGATTTGAGAATCTAGGGGAAGGTAGAGCAAGGGGAAGGGCTCAGTTGGCATACAGACAGCAGGAGGAAGCCATGGCTGAGAGTATTCCCATGTGTTATCTACATGTAGTGTCCTCTCCAATGCATGGCCACATTCAGGAAAGCCTACCACCAGGCCATCCGCCATGAGAAACAGAGCCACTAAATCAGCTGTGTGTTATTATCAAGGTGACAGGACCCATAAAGCCAAGGGTCTAACAGAAAGTGACAGTCATTATTTTGCTTTGCTGACATAAGCTTTGCAAGACTCCGGCCATCAATTCTATGCTATTAAGTTAATGGTTTTGTTATTCTGCTTCCCGACTTCTTTCATTGGGGGGCATTGGGATGTGGGAAGTGGTCCGGTTCAAGAGGACCCCTGCTCGCCCTCTGTGGGCCCCTGAATTATAAATCTGCTAATAAACAGAGAAAGGTCCTAACCCTGGATCCAAAACCCTCTGGCATTAAAAAATGTAGCATGCCTCGGCTTTTGGGTAAGTCTCAAGCTGGGATATTTGCTCTCAGCGTGACTTGTTCTGATTTATAAGGATATTCCATATCCCATGGATTTGGGCAAGAGAAGTCTGGCCGGGAGCATAGTGAGGGTCTGAAAGAAAACCAGCCAGAACGCTGCGAGTTAGAAGGAGGCATTTATTTCCAATAAACAAAGAACACCTGCAGCATGTTCTTAGATTTCTGTAAGAAGTGGACATTTTAGGGGTTTTGTGAGGTTTTTAAATTCTGTTTTTAAATGACATTGTTTTCTGAACCAGTGAAAACAAGATCCTACATCTCCTAGCGCTGCATTAACTCTCTACCCAGACCCGTATCCTACCTTTCCTCAGCCCTATGTTTGTTTGCTTGTTATTGATTTTAGAGAGAGGAAGGGAGAGATAGGGACAGAAAGAACAATCAATGTGAGAGAGAAACATGTCCCACCTGGGACTGAAACCCCCAACCTGGATATGTGCCCTGACCGGGAATTGAACTGATCAAGCCTTTGGCATGCGGGACGCCATTCCAACCAACTGAGCCAGGACAGCCCTGTGTGTGGCTGTTACTGCCCTTCCTGGCATTCAGACTAACTCTTCCATGATCATTGCATACAGATGGCCTCGGTTTCTCTGGAGGGTTCCTTAGCTTCCCCAGGACTATGTCTTCAATTTGATGTCCTTTTAAAGCACAGCCCCTGAAGGAATTGAATGACTATCTGAACTTCTACAGGATTTATTTACTCTCCTTGCAAAACAAACATGCATAATCTTCCCATCGACTTGAAAATGCACTTCTCTTCTGTGTGTATGTGATTTGGTCTCAGGTCATTTGGCAACAGAGTATGTGGCATTACAGTAGCCTGTAGTTGTCTTCTGGATTAAGTTTACAAAAGGAAAGAGATTCATGCACTTGGACTCTGAGGTGTTGGTGTGACTTTTCGACAAACCTTATTCCTCAGGCCTTTTCCGTGAGGTCCACCAAACCCCACAATGTGGACACAATCTAATCGTGGTTCTCCCAATAGGCGAGGTGTTCCTTGTGAATTAAAGGAAGCAAACAAATGGGACTTCAGGGCTGGGCCCACTGTGTTCTGGGCTTGGCACTAGTTATTTCATTTCTTTTTAATCCTCAAAACGTTGCTGTCAGGTAGATCAAGCAAACTCAACTCCAGGAGGTTAAGTGGCTCGCCCAGTGTCTCACAGAGAATCTTGGAAGAGAGAACGCAGAGCAACCCTATCCTTTTCCCACTTCGGGGCTGGAGTTTGAAGACCAGAGGATTGTGGGAGTCAGGGTTGCAACACGAGTCACCCTTACCCTGGTCCAGGCGATATAGAACATTCAGTGATGGAGGCAGAGACTTTTAATGAGATTATAATAAATGTTGGTGCAAGGTGAAAATATAAAATGTGGACTGCGTACGTAGTTAATGCTGACATGAACCTGTGCCTTTAAAATCAAAGCTTAACATCAGTGTTTTCTCTGGAAATCCAACCTCGCCTTGAAAACTCTCCCAGTCGGGCCAATTCAATACCATCCATCCAGTTGGGAGTGAATGGTAGACTTAACCTAACCTGGGATAACAATGATGAAATGATGGTGGGGAAAATTTCGGGCATTTCCATCTGCCTTAGTGCCTGAAAAAGGACTAACATGCCCAGGACTCATTTTCCTGTCTTTAACTTCCTTCCCCTTGCTGACTTCCTATAATGTGTTATTTTATGTTTTTGCGTATCTGCTTTGCTCCTAAGTAGCAGTGTGTCTCATTCATGTTTCTATCCTTAACTCTTAGACCTACAGTCTAAAATAAAACATTGCTTTCATTGGGAAATTACTTACATAGGGTATACATTGATAGATCTATGATATCGATCTATGTGATTTATGCATATGAGTAAATATAAATTATATAAATATAAATGTAAATATATAAATATTTTTCTTTGTAAAATGCCTTTAAGAGGTGTTTCCTCAGCCACAGAATGAATCCCAGTAGGTTCTGACAATGGGCCATTTCATATTGTCACGTGGGTGAAATGTTCTCTACATCTTTTTATCCACTCAAGACCCAGCTATTTGAAACCACCCAAAGAGTCAGCTGCTCTGCCGCCTCACGCTGAAACGTGGAAGTCACTTTGGTCCAGCCCAGTGGTCGGCAAACTCATTAGTCCACAGAGCCAAATATCAACAGTACAAAGACTGAAATTTCTTTTGAGAGCCACATTTTTTTAAACTTAAACTTCATCTAATGCCACTTCTTCAAAATAGACTCAGCTGTGTTATTTTGTGGAAGAGCCACACTCAAGGGGCCAAAGAGCCCCATGTGGCTCGCGAGCCGCAGTTTGCCTATCCCTGGTCTGGCGGGTTTGCCATCTCGAACTTTCTGGCCAAGGAGTTCTTAAACCCACTTGCTGCCATTTAACTCCGCTCTTTCTGATCCAGTCCTCCATGCAAACAGGAAACAGCTGCTTTCCATCAGCCAGAGAATAACCCTCCTAGTCCTGGAGACTATTATTAAGTCCCCCTCAGCATGCCCGCTCTCTGCCTCTCTCTCTTTCTCTCTCTCTAAGCTAAATAAACCCAGTTCCTGTAGCTGATACCCAAACCTTGAATCACGTGGGTCACTAACAAGGATGAATGGTGCTGTATGAAAGCACTCCTCCTACAGTTTCGTGATTGTGCTAGAAAACCTTCCAATCCCCTCTCGGTCTCCAATCTCCACTTCAAAGATATCTTCTTTCTAAGAATAGGCACACCCTCCCTATTCCCTGTTTATCTTCCATTTTTCACCCGCTACATTAATGTGTAAGGGAAGACAATCCATCAGACCGTTCTTAAATCCAGGAGTCCATGCAAAAATGACCAGTTCGGTCAACTTCCCATTCTCTGTTAGTCTTCGCTGTCTCTAATCTCTCAGCAACACATGTACAGAGGGAGAGTTCACCATCCTGAATCTACAGCTGTGTCCTGTAGAGCCACAGTTGTTCCCAGATCTTTTTATCCATCTTTTCGGGACAAAGAACACATAGCAGGGCCCTACCAGTCCCGGGTCTGTCTCCTGCACCAACAGTGTCTGAACGGGACAGACCCAGGGACACCCTTTCTCCCAGCCTCCGGCCCCTCTCCTGCATCTCACCAGTCACCACCTTCACAACCACCTCCCAGACCAGCCAACACACCTGTTTTCTTTCTGCCTGAACTCCTTACTGCAAACAACCACACGCTCCCAAATTCCTCAGAATTATTCCACCACCGAGGTGGAGGCCCCATCACCCGCCTAGCCCCCTGCCTCTGCGGGCCCCACATCCACCTCTCTCTGGGCTTCTGTTTTGACCTTAACCATGTGGCTCTCAAGGGCGGGGGCCACTTCTTTCTCAAGTTGCTGGGAAAGAAGAGTGAGGGCCTGAGCATCTTAAAGATGCTAAACCAGCACAGTGGCCGCATTCTCTTACAGAACGTGCTGAGGTCTCCCCAAGAGGAGTGGCACAGCTCAAGGCCATGAAAACCGCCCTTGCCTTGGCCTTGGAGAGGAGCCTGACCCAGCCCCTTTGGGTCTGCAGGCCCTGATTCTGCCCATGCAGACCCTGATCTCTGACTTCCTGCAGCACCACTTGCTGGAGGAGGAGGTGAAACTCATCAGGAAACTCATGGTCTAGAAACTGATGAAATACAGGCTCAGGAATGAGGAGAGCCATTACGCTGGGAAACTGAGTGGAGTGTCTTCATCAGGACACATTGCTTTAAAAAAATATATATTTTTTGAAAAATTTGGTGGTTCCTCTCTGAGATTTGACCCAACAATTCCACTCTTAGGTTTAGACCCACAAGAACTGAAAGCCATGACTCAGACAGGGGCCTGGACACGGATGTTTATACACAACAGCTGAAGATGGAAACAACCCAGGGGCCCTCCATAGATATGCAGATAAACAAAAAAAAACATATAGTCATAGACTAGAATGTCATTCAGCCATGAAAAGGAATGAAATGCTGACACATATTACAACATTGGATGAATCTTGAAAGGATTGTGCTAATGGAAATAAGGCAGGAAGAAAAGGACAAATAATTGTATGATTTCACTTATCCTAGGTACATAGAACAGGCAAATTCATAGAGCTAGAAAGTAGAATAGAGGTTATCAGGGATAAGGGTAGGGGTAATGGGAAATTATTGTTTAATGGGTACAAAGTCTGGAATGATGGGAAAGTTGTAGAAATGGATAGTGGTGATGATTGTACAACATTGTGAATGGACTCAATGTCACTAAATTATATAGCTAGAAGCTAAATTTTAAGTTATATTTTATTACCATATTTTTTTCTAGTTTTCGATGTGGCAGAGACAGCTATAACAAAAGAACAAGAGGAATAATAGGATAAGAGCCTAGAAGAATGCTGTATTCAGGTTGCAACTGTCCTGAAAATTTTCTCTTCTTTAAAGAAATTAAACACTAGAAATGGTAGATGATTCAATATGGATGTGATTCATGGAAAAAATAT